ATCTTTTTGTTGAAGCAGAAAAAAAGTGTTAACTTAATGATATTGAAAAACATCTTTAGGTGAACATCTGACAGAATCAACAACTACTAGATTTAATGTATGACTTCAGCATGGAATATTAATTGCTTGAGCATTTTTTGTTAAGAATATAGTCCTGTACACCATTTCTTATGTCTTTCAAATTTGCACCATTGCCATAATTCTGACTTCTTATGTTTTTCACTGACAAGTTATTATTTTCCAGAGAGTCAATAAACACAATATAATTAAGAAGGTTCAATAGAACTTGATAATTCAAGTTCTGTTAAGCCTTCAATTAAGTGAAATCCAAAAAAACTTTTATAAATGTTAATTTTACTCTTATCCTCTACATCTACATATCGAATCAATGTTGACATACTACTGGTGACTGATGTCTGATGGACAATCAACAATGATTGAAAAATACGCCAACTTTTGGACATTTACACAAATTTTGATTTTAATGGATTTGCCAATCAAGTCAATGATTTTATTTTGCCAAATAGTGAACAGAATTCGGTTTTTTATTTTGCCTTTAATAAATCTTTTTCCAAAACCGGATCAAATCCAGCCAAAAAGAAAGTTTTCATCATTACCTTGATAGACTTTGTCATCAAGGTAATGATGGACCTCTGGCAGATTTTGCTTTGTCATCATAATAGTTGAGGAAAAAAATTTGCACCATTGCCATAATTAAGGTTAGGGTTTTGGCTATTTTGTAGTGAAGTCCTTTTTTACTGCAGTATGGAGTAGGCGTAAATCGCGGGGTAAAGCATAAATAGCGATGGTATTTATCTGACAGGATAAACTAGGTATTGGTGCTGAGCCTCTTTGAAACACCGGTAATAATAAACGCGATTTTAAGGAGAAATTTATTTATAAAATTACCACTACATAAATTAGGATTACACAAAAGCAAGAATGTTTTTTTTTAATTTTATACCTCCTATGAATTTATATTTATTCATTTTAAATACTGATATATCTATATGTATTTTTATTTTAAGTATGTTAAACATTTGTATTTACTGTAGATTTATGGTTACTTATGTGCAGGCTTGTGGAGCCGGAGCCAGAGCCGTGGAGCCGCTGTTTTTAGGAATAGAATATATATTTTTTATTTTTTTTACTCTAGACAAACTTTATTCATTTATTGTTTAACATTGAATTTCTAATTTTCTAACAGTTTTGGTCTTGCCAAAACGTAATAAAAGTGACTATTTTAACGATTTTGTACTCAACAAAATACTATTCTTTAATAGTATTTCTTAATATGCTTTATATTAAAAAAAAATGAAATTATATAGGGAAAAATTACAGCTTTATATTATATTTTTATATTATATGCTTTAAATTATATTTTTATACTGATACTATGCTGTTAAATATTTGATGCGTCATTTAATGATCAAAGGTTATTTATATCTTTGAAACTATATTAAAGTATGCAATCGTTAAACTTAAAACAATGATTTTTGTTTTAAAACTTATCACACATTATTACACATTTTTAATAAGAATTCGATGATCATCAATCAAAACCCCGGCTTATCGAACAAAGAACAAGCCAAAAGATATAAAGTTTCAGAGTTTTTTGAAGATTAAATTTTGGCAAACAATATGCAGCTGTGGTTTGAGATCTTGAGCTTTTGTCACATCATCAACTTTAAACTCTGATTTTTACATCAAAGAATACTTGCAAACTAGACTTTTGCAATTTTATCGAAATCACGATGTCCCCTGTTAGTTCTGGCATAATCTTGTTTCTCGTCATTATTTTAAAAAAATTGGTGCAATTTGAGAGACTTTAAATTCATACCAAAAAGTATGAATTAAGTATATTTTATGATTTTTAAAAATATTAATACTGAGATCCAACATCTGGTGACCAAAAAATTAAAAATATTAATACTGAGATCCAACATCTGGTGACCAAAAAATTAAAAATATTAATACTGAGATCCAACATCTGGTGACCAAAAAATTAAAAATATTAATACTGAGATCCAACATCTGGTGACCAAAAAATTAAAAATATTAATACTGAGATCCAACATCTGGTGACCAAAAAATTAAAAATATTAATACTAAGTTCCAACATCTGGTGACCAAAAAATTAAAAATATTAATACTGAGGTCCAACATCTGGTGACCATAAAGTTAACTTGAATGAATACCATTAAATTCATAAAAAAAATCCATTAATCTGCACACAGTTCTGTCCCATTGAGACATTTTTGAGAATCGGCAAAGGATATTTGCGTAAGAGTGGCAAAACAATAAGTACAGCTAAAGATTTTATTAGAGAGTTAACATTAGTAGGGAAAAAAATTGTAAAAAACACTGTGCAGAAGTTGATGTCGTCAATTAGCGTAAATGTTTGCTATTCAAAATAATAAAAAATATTAAAATAAAAAGCACTTTTATAATCTTAAGTTCCTTAGATTAAAATAAATATTGAAGTTTTTGCATTAGTTGA